CGGGGGGGAGCCATAATCATCACAAATAGTTTATGGCATATGCTCACAATCAGTTGGGATGACAACATCAAGTCACTGGAAACAAACAAATCCTCTAACAGCACCCAACTAACATAGCAAGATGTATGGACAGCCTAAGGTAGAGATACTGTAAGGAGCATTGCTGGCCAACATGCTGTCTCGACTTATTAGCTTTCCTGGATAACCTTCACAGAAAGTGTGCTTGAAAACTCTAGGTAATAATACAGTCACCTGTTCACAAATTTAAAAAGTTATTGTGCTTACTCTTTCTATTGCCAAAATGCAAATGAGAAAACTGTTCATACAGTTGTTTTGCAAAGTCTAACAGACGTGATATTTCAGATTCAAGTAGGTAGCCATGTTGGTCTGACGCAGTCAAAATAATAATAATAATAATTTATAATAATAATAATTTATTATTTGTACCCTGCCCATCTGGCTGGGTTTCCCCAGCCACTCTGGGCGGCTTCCAAAAAGACCAAAAATACACTAATATGTCATACATTAAAAACTTCCCTGAACAGGGCTGCCTTAAGATGTCTTCTGAATGTCAGGTAGTTGTTTATCTCTTTGACATCTGGTGGGAGGGCCTTCCACAGGGCGGGCGCCACTACCGAGAAGGCCCTCTGCCTGGTTCCCTGTAGCTTTGCTTCTCACAGTGAGGGAACCGCCAGAAGGCCCTCGGCGCTGGACCTCAGAGTCCGGGCAGAACGATGGGGGTGAAGACGCTCCTTCAGGTTTACTGGGCCGAGGCCATTTAATAATAATAATAAATAATAATAATAATTTGTCCAGTAGCACCTTATAGACCAACTAAGTTTTTCTGGTATAAGCTTTTGCGTGCATGCACACTTCTTCAGATATGATTATGATATTTCAGATAAAAAAAACCATTAAGACTCTGATGAATTAATACAGATGACTGAATTAATACTGCCCTGTTTGGGCACATTGCTCTAGGTGGGCTGGGAGCAGTAGGCTGTGTCAAGGGTAAGATGTCACAGAGGAGGATGGCAGGGAAAGCTTTCTCCAAGCAGGAGGCAAACTGTAGTTTCACTTAACTTCCCAAATGGAGCATCCCTCATTATACAGTGGTACCTCGGGTTATATAAGCTTCAGGTTACAGACTCCGCTAACCCAGAAATAGTACCTCGGGTTAAGAACTTTGCTTCAGGATGAGAACAGAAATTATGCTCCGGCGGTGCGGCAGCAGCAGGAGACTCCATTAGCTAAAGTGGTGCTTCAGGTTAAGAACAGTTTTAGGTTAATAATGGACCTCCGGAACGAATTAAGTACTGTATTTTTTGCTCTATAAGAATCACTTTTTCCCTCCTAAAAAGTAAGGGGAAATGTGTCTGCGTCTTATGGAGCGAATGCAGGCTGCGCAGCTATCCCAGAAGCCAAAACAGCAAAAGGGATCGCTGCTTTCACTGCATAGCGATCGCTCTTGCTGTTCTGGCTTCTGAGATTCAGAATATTTTTTTTCTTGTTTTCCTCCTCCAAAAACTAGATGCGTCTTGTGGTCTGGTGCGTCTTATAGAGCGAAAAATACTTAAGTAAGAAAAGTACTTAACTCAAGGTACCACTGTAGACTCAAATGTTTGCAGATGGAAAATAAGGATATAGTGTACCTACACTCAAAACCAAGAGAGATAAACTAATTATAATTTCTAGCTACCTTATTCCTACTCCAGTAGTCATTTAAGGGCCATGAGAATTATGCATGTTTCAAGAAAAGGCTTAGAGGAAATAATCTAACTTCTTTTTCTTGGGCTGACTGCCTTCTCTCCCAGCTAACAAGTCCAAAATGTCAGTAAGCCCAACACCACCCTTAGATTCTATTAAAGAGTCTATCCCTCACTCTCACTTGACAGACAGCTTCTCAGGCCCAGCTGTCAAGTTTGCCAGATGACTTTTGTCAGTCTATATTATGCTGATTTTGTTTTTCACGACACTAGGGGTGTGGAGAGAAGGAATATTATACCTTGTATTTAGCTCTCTGATTCAAACTGAAGTGTTAAATACTGGGCATAATACATCATTTTGCAGGATTAGACGCAACAGACTGAGGAGAAATGTGCTTATTTCTGTTGTATTCATTGATGTGCTTATTCCATTCTAGTGTTAGGCAAACAGTGCTTCTTAGAAACTGGTTTGCTTAATGTCTTACCTGACTTCAACCACTAGGTGGCACTCAATACTAGTTAATACTGCATTTTCCAAATGAAAGTACAGTATTTAAAACGAAGAATGAACTTCTTTTTTTAAGTGTATAGGTTTAAAAAGAAACTAATTGCTTTGCAGAGAGTGGGGGGTGATAGGGGATGAACTAAATATTGAGGTTGGTCTCTCCCCCACCAATATGAATGCAGTGAGATCTGCCCCACCACGGAAAAGGAGGCTCTGGAAAGGGCAAATGTCGCAAAGGGAAGTCACATTTGATGAGTCCTTGTAGCAAGAATTAAGGAAATGGAAAAGTCCCATGAGGAAGCCTCTAAAACTCACTAGATGGTTGTATCCTGACAATATTGCTAACAGTCATCAACCATGCATCACTACCATCTCATGATGAGCCCTAAGTTAATGGCAGAGAACATCTAAAATTTCAGAGGCCAGAAGTCTGCAATAACATCCGCGTGAGACCTTGAGCAGTTCACATCAGCCAGAGTGAGGGAGTATTGGGTGGAATGCTGGTGTTAAGACCCCACATGGTTGATGTGGGTGGGGGTGTATACAATCACAACACCCAGATATTTCCAAATGCAGTATTGCTTACAAATTACTCGTTTTCCTGGAGTCTGAGGGATCAAGGGATCATTTGAATTTTATTTTTGTCCATTGTCAATTAAATTAAATTGAGAGAGTACTGCAAAGTTTGTGGCTAATGTAATCTCATGGCTACATCATGTCATAAGACACTGAGAAGTGCAATCACAGAGCAAAAGCAAACTCCTATACTGTCTGCCCCCATTGAGGAGTATTGATATTGCCCACAGCTGCTGTGATTCTACAAAAATGCAGTAAAGTATAAAACAACACTGCCTGAACATGCAGTAGCAGGAGGAATGGGGCTGTTAACAAGGTATTCTGATTCCTTAGCTTTAAATTGTCCTCTTTTCTACAGATCAGAGCTGGAAATCAAGAAGAACAGAGTACACCAGACCAACCAAGTGTCCCTATTTTCCATGAACAGTCTTGGATTTACAGAAGCCATCTCAGTTTCTGAGATGATCCTAGAATGCCCTACATTTCCTTAGAATATCTCTATTTTCATCTGTTACAGAAATTATGGGGGGCACATCTTTAAAGTTGTTAAATGTTACAAATATTACGTATAAATGCATCCTTTCGCCTTGACAGCTCAGGGAAGTTACCTAGCTTTAAAAATCATATAAAATCAACTCCTTTGCCAGTTTCCTCCATTCCAACGCTATTTTGCCCTTGGAAAAGGGACTCCAGGAAGTGCCCAGAGGTGACAACTGCTGAGCTGATTGTTGGCCAAGGAAAGCCTAATCCCATCACCAGACTTGCCAAGGGGTCCAGACATGCAAAGGAAGTTCTATTGTACTTTGGGTGGTGGGACTTCAGAGGTGTTTGCCTATGCTAATCTTATACCTGGGTCTTGCCCTGACATGTCTGCTTATGCTAATCTTGTACCAAGGACTTGTCTGGACATGCTTGCCAAGGTTTAACTAGTGTAACCCCTGCCTACCCCTTCCCTTTTGTGACACGTCAGTCATGTAGCAGTGATGTATCAATGATGCTGTACAAACTGTATTCTGGGATATGGTAGGAAAGTTTTAAAAGTCCTTGTCACCCCATCCTCAGGGTTCAAAATTCCTCTTTGAACCTGCTGCGCACTGAACTTTGGTCTACAGCTATTTGCTCTGGTTGGTGGCTGGACTCCTTCCTTTATTCCACAGGGACCCACGGGCTCTGCCCAATGAGCTGGGTGACTGAGCAGCCTTGCACCTAGATTTTTCCATAACACATGTGAGAAATGTTGGATATGGAGTTATGTGAGCCAAGGAGATAAGGAGCCAAAAAGATAAGTAACTATACAACTTTTAGAAGAAAGAATCTGTGAGACCTTGATCTGGAAAGCACTCTTCCTGTCATTTTTCTGCTTAAAATCTCCCCCTAGGTAGTAGTAGTAGTTTTATATACCACCCTATACTCGTAGATCTCACGGCGGATCACAGCACAAAATCACAATACAAAAACACATGATACATAATAAAAACAAAGACAACCCAATAATCCCCCCCCCCAACCACAACACATTTTGAAAGGCCTGGTTCAAGAGGAAGGTTGTTGCCTGGCGCCTAAAGAGAAACACTGGCCAGTGAGTGCTCCAATTGGAGAACAGCCTTTACCAAAGGTTTCACGGGTTTTGAAGACACTCGAACTCGGGACGAAAGGGAGAAACGTGCTAAGAGGAAGGCACGCTTGATAAACCCTCACCATGATCAACTCTCGCCTGGAAACCTACGTCCCCACTGTGGAAGGACTTGCGGCTCCAGAATTGGCTCCATGGTCACTTACAGACTCACTTTTAAAACCTTGTTTATGAATGAATGAATGAATGAATGAACTTTATTACGGTCACAGACCAGGATTTTAAAAAGCATATAAATAAAGTAGCAGTTAGGATTTTTTTTAACCGATAATTGTTAGAGCAAATGAGGGCAAAGAAACAGGCATAGGATAAAACATCTGAATAAAATACAAGATTAAACACGGATAATGGATGGATAAAAACTGATAATTAAAACAGATAACAACTAAAAACAAAGACACGCAGTTAAAACAACTGTAAGAGCATAAGAACTAAGACTCGCAGTTAAAACAACTATAATAGGCTGCAGAGTAGAAGCCTCTGAAATAGAAGACACTCACAACATTAGAAACTGCTGTGCAAATATGGTTAAAACAGACAATTAAAACAATGTACAATAAATTTAGAAACAATATACAACATCGCTTCTCGGCCTTTTGGCTAAGATCAAGTATAGTATCCGTGTTTATGGAAGACAATCTTACTTGGCTACAAGTGATCACCAAAAAAGAAGATGATAATGAAAGCACCTGCTGAACCTCCTGAGGGAGACCATTCTACAAATGGGAGGCAACTGCAGAAAAGACCCATTCACATGTTGCCACCTGCCTTGAATCCCTGGCTTACCTGGCAGCAAATCAGTATGTCAAGCTCCCAATGCAGGGTCAATCCAATTGTCCAAAGTCCAAATCAAAGCACAATCGCATAGAGATCCTGGCGCTTCCAAGCTGAGGTCCATCAACATGGGCAGTTAAGCAGACACAGAACCTCTGCTCTGCTGCCCTTTTATACTCTGCATGCTGATTGCAGCATCTGGGTTTGATGAGGCATGTGACCCTCACTTGTTCTGAGCCTGCTCCAGCTAAGGAATCACACACCTCCTCCCAGAGTTAGTGAGCCCCACCTGGACAGCTAAGGAGCTGGGCTGTAGGCCCTTGCCAGTCTCATTCTCCTTGAGCATACCTTCCACTGCTCTCTATGCCTCAGAGTCTGCCATGTTTGTGGAGACAGGAGCCTCTCTGACTCTCTTGATGGGCCCTACTGCTCTGGTTCCTGCACACTGACCCCCATCCCCCTGCCATCCTCTATCACCCCATGAGTACTTCCTACACCAACCTCTCCTTCACCACCCCCAGCTTGCCCTGGTGTGTCCCAGTCCCAGTTACACCCCACGCCAGGATCTACTTCCTTCTTCCCATTGTCCTACCTGTTCATGACACCATCCGTCTGACACCACAAGATGATGTCAGGGCCTTGGTATATGCAGAGAGGCGATATTTCAGTTATTGCGGTAGCTTATTGCCCCTGAAAGTGGCATTAGTAGGAGACGGCACTGCAGGGGAGGCAGTTTTCAGCTGAATATGACAGTAGATTTTTCTCTAAATAACTGGCTCTCAGAGATACGTTGATGTCATAAAGCTAGGTAGGCAGTTATGCAGATGAGATGATGTCACAATGCAAAGCTTATATGGCTTCTCTGCTACTCTTCAAAGCTGTGCGCTACTTAGCACAATAAGGGGATTTTCTCTCTTGTTATCTTGACCTGCAAGACACAAAAATCTATTTTGTATTCAGCCAGTTGCACCCTGGGTTCCAGAAAGGAGTGTTTATTTAATTTCACTAACAAGGGTGCTAGCTACCTTGTTCTGGGCAATCTATAGAGAAATATTGCTGTTACCACTGCAAGTAAACTTGGTCTGAGAACTCTCTGGTTTCACATGGTCTCTTAGTTTTTCCTTCCCCAATGAAAAGGTGAACATGAGAAGCAAGGGGTTTGTGGAGTCTAAGACATCATCTTCACCTTGCAATGGCTCCCTAGGATTACACAGCAGGGAAAAGGAGATCGCAGAACAATGTCCCCTTCTCCCAGCTAGATTCCTGTCTAGTACAGCTGGCAGACAAGTCCCAAAAGCTAAGGCCAGCATAAAGGTAAAGGTAAAGAGACCCCTGACCACTAGGTCCAGTCGTGACCGACTCTGGGGTTGCGGCGCTCATCTCGCTTTATTGGCCGAGGGAGCAGGCGTACAGATTCCGGGTCATGTGGCCAGCATGACTAAGCCGCTTCTGGCGAACCAGAGCAGCACACGGAAACGCCGTTTACCTTCCCGCCGGAGCAGTACCTATTTATCTACTAGCACTTTCATGTGTTTTCGAACTGCTAGGTTGGCAGGAGCAGGGACCGAGCAACGGGAGCTCACCCCATTGCAGGGATTCGAACCGCCAACCTTCTGATCAGCAAGTCCTAGGCTCTGTGGTTTAACCCACAGCGCCACCCGCGTCCCTAAGGCCAGCATACATGTGTCATAAACGAGTCGGTCTGAGAAGAGGCACTTTTAAAGGTAGGATTCAAATGACTAAAATTGCATTTGGCAAGTTGCTGCAGCATAATTTCATGTTCCCCATTTGTAAAATTGGAATTGTGTAACTTGATCCAATGTCCTCTTGGAAGCAAGATCCAGTGACTTGGAGCTTCCTTCCAAGTACAGTAAAATGTCTTTAAATCTGGAGATCGACTTTCCAGGCTTAAGTTGAGGAGACCAGCACTGAGCAGACCATTGCCCTCCAGAGGTTGCTGGACTACAACTCCCAGCATCCCTGGGACTGATGGGAGTTTGAGTCCAGTAGCATATGGAGGACAGCAGGGTAGGCAAATTCATAAAACCTAAATGTAACAATTTGTTTTCTGTATAACAGCAGGTGGCAGTATGCACAAGTAATAAATGGCACGCACACACACACATATATATATTAACATGAAATCCCTTTATCTATTCTATTTAGAAACCAGCAAATGATCTTTTTACGCAGAAAAAAAACCTGCACAAATTGCAAGTTTTAAAAATATATTTTATTCCACTCTCATTATTCCAGCACACTGTACAATGAAATCTTAAGTGGTGTGAGTTGAACGAGAAATATTAGTTTTGTGAGTTTGCCACAAGGTGGCGAGGCAACACTACAATTGTTTAATGAGACAGGGGGAAAGCAATTAAAATGGTTCGGAATGACTTTTATGGTGGCAACAGTTGGTCAGTCACAAAAGTTTGATATTGATCTTTTCTATTTTGTCCGTCAGTATACATTTCCCACAGAAAGGCTTTAACATTTAACATCAGAACTGGAGAATATTCTGATAGAGCCATTTAAATCATGATAAATCCTGGCAATGAGTCCTCCTACAGTAAACAGGTCAGCCACCATCAGCTGTGTTTTAACCCTGCCCAACTTTTGACTGTTCCATATTTTAAATGCTTCAGGCCAGCTGAGCATCAGTTCTTGGCACTTTGGGAAGGGAAGAGGTGGCTATCAGGAGCCAGTCATCCATCAACAAATACTACCCCCATGAACCACAGCACAGAGTTATGTTGAGTAAGGAAGCCATCTCAGACAAATAAATAACTTCAGGCTGAAGTCCTGTACACACTTCAAAAAGCCCCATTGGAATCAACAGGACTTGCTTCTGAGTAGATATCAATAGAATTTGCACTTTTAATAATTTATAATTAACAAATATAAATATAATGAATTGAAAAAAATGTTTTAAAGCACTTTTCAAAAAAACAAACAAACAACTAGAGTCCTTTCTGTTGGAGATAATTCAGAAGGAAATTCCCAGGTGTCTAAAAAGGTTAGTTATATATGCTACTATGGAGGCCTGTGTTTTGTTAGCCCAAAAATGGAAAATGAGCGAGGTCCCAACCAAAGAAGAATGGCAACTTAAAATGATGGAATATGTGCAGCTTGCAGGTCTAACTTGTAGAATAAGAGAACAAGAAGAACATTTGTTTAAAGAAGATTGGAAAATGTTTAATGAATATATGGGAAGAAATTGTGTACACTTGAAAACGCTGGCAGAATTAAGATAAATTCAACAGTGTAAATAAGTTTTGATGGAAGTAATAATGGAATACTGAATGGTTTCGTTTCTATAAAATATGCAGGGATTTATGCTATGCAAAACGAACCATGGAAAGAGAAGAAGAGAAGTCATTGAAAGTTTAAGGTTGTATAAACGAATATTCTAAATTGTAAAACCGAATAAATAAATAAGAATTTGCACTTTAAGCGGCAGTGCCAAACTGCTTATGTAGAGTAGGGAGACTGCTGAATCTATAGAAGGGACTGGAAACAAAGCCAACATTTCCCATTATCTTTATTAGCATAAGAGTTCCCAGTGCACTTTCCCATCTTATGCTAAGGAGAGCAGTGGAAAAGAAAACAAGTGTGCAGAGTTATGCAGGAGGTCACAGTGAGTGTGGGCAACTTGTACTTGTTTCTTCCACAATTCAACATTTTAAAAATACAAGATACCTGCATTCCAGTACCGTGTGTGTGTGTGTGTGTGTGTGTGTGTGTGTGTGTATTCTATGCCATCACACCTATCTCTGTGGAGGATGTAGAAACCCACAGGGTACAAACAGGGCAAGCAAGAAGGGTTATAAGTTTGTAATCCTCAATGAAATTTCTGTCTCTTTCAAAATGTCTGCACAGGCATGCACGGCATCTCTACGACAACATGTGTCTGCATTCCAAACTGCTACAGAAAGTGTTTTTAAAAAGTATCTATGGCTGCATATACAGATGGCACTTTATTCTGGAATCAATAGAGAAGGAAAACTTGTTTTTTCTATGTAGTCCACATGCAATCGAGATCTAGTGCATGTTTTTTGCCCATGAAAAGCACTTCATGAGAAACTTCTCCAATGGAGGAGTCTGTCCAAGTCTGCCATTTCAGCAGCTCCTGCATAAAAATGCCATGTAGCAGAACTCTGGTCTAGTCTTGGGTTTAGCACTTTCAGGCTGGGTTTAAAAGGTAAAGGTAAAGGGACCCCTGACCATTAGGTCCAGTCATGGCTGACTCTGGGGTTGCAGCGCTCATCTCGCTTTACTGGCCGAGGGAGCCGGCATACAGCTTCCGGGTCATGTGCCCAGCATGACTAAGCCGCTTCTGGCGAACCAGAGCAGCGCACGGAAACACCGTTTACCTTCCCGCCGGAGCGGTACCTATTTATCTACTTGCACTTTGATGTGCTTTCAAACTGCTAGGTTGGCAGGAGCAGGGACTGAGCAACGGGAGCTCATCCCGTCGCAGGGATTCAAACCGCCGACCTTCTGATTGGCAAGTCCTAGGCTCTGTGGTTTAACCCACAGCACCACGTTTTTTGCACTGCTCATGACAGAAATCAACTCTTAAGGTCACGGGGCTATAAAAAGGAATTTTTAAAGGAAATATAGGCTTGGTTCACATGGCACGGTAAACCAAACTACAGATTACCTGCAAATTTGTGTGTTTCTGGGGAGGAGGTTGTGGCTGCTTTGCTCCTCTCCAGCCTTTTTTTTTTTTTTTTGTCCTTGTGATGCACTGAGCTAAATGAAGATTTAACTTAGCATGTTTTCCAAACTGGGATTTGTGGTTAAGCTCTCTTCAGTAACCATGAGCTGTAGCCAAGAACAAGTTGCTTTTCTCTTCCCAAGGCTTGCCGTGTTGTACAAACTAGACCTTGGTGCCTCCATATGTTATGTAAGATGTAGTAAGCGAGACTAATCTCAGTCTGCAATCCTTGGACTTGGAGGGAGGGAGAATCTATGACTCACTCATATCTTATGAGAAGCAATGTTGGAGGTACTTCTGTGTTGCTGTACACTGTGTTACTTTGGTCACATCTATAAAGAGGAACTTAGGGTTCCCAAACAACATAGGCTGCGTATATACAAAATTATTTGTAGCACAAAGGTGTGGTTTTTCTCCATCTGGAACCTTCATGCTTATCCTCAACATGCTGTTTTCAATCTAGATCAACTCTAGCTCCTGCTGTCCACTAGGGTGTGTGTAGTTACTTTGAAAACACTTCCCTTGAACAGGTTATCCACGCCTTTCCCTCTGTATGTCCCAGGTCAACAAAGAAGGTGACTGTGATCTTGATATACACCCACCAACGAAATAATTGAACTGGTGTGGAATGGATTCACTCCCTATTGCTGGAACCACCTACCTACATATCTTTACAAATGGGCACACTGTGCAGTAATGCAGAATCAATTTTCTGAGATCATACAGAATCATGTTTTGGGCCCAAGTTGTGCAGGGCTTTGCAAATCAGCACAAGATTGGAAAGGCTTCTCCCTGAGCTGTCCATGATGTCAGTGGGTAAGGCATTGTGAGCTCCCTGAGTGACCGGCTATGAGACCAGGCTGGTTTCCTTCCTGAGCTAGCTGTGGTATCCAGGCAGAAAGGGGCTAGTCAGTGGGACAGTCTTTATGACTTCAGTGTCTCTAAGGCCAGGCAGGCTGACACCTGATGTCAGTGGGCAAAGCTTTGTGACTTCACCTCTCCAGGCTGCATCCCCACCCCACTCTGCTTGCCTGAACTGCCCAGGTAGAGACACTGGGCCCTGAGTAAGTATCTATAGGACCTGTCTGCAGATATGATCTCCAGGCAGTATGTGTGTGTGCGCGAGCAGGGGAGAAAGGGACAGAGAGATGATAGGTGGGGGGTGAGTAGGAGGAGGCGGGGGCAGTGGCTGGGGCGGCGCATGCTTCTGCCTCCTGCTACCCTGGTCCTTAAGCTGAATACAACTGTATTCAGCCATAAAATGGAGTTCTCCTTCTCCTTTGCAAATGAAGGGTCCATAGGAAGGTATGTAGATGAAGCGGCAAAGCATGCAACTGGGGCCAGGAAAATCCCCCAGGCCAATATGTTCAGGGAGGGCCGTGTGAAAGGGATTTGAGACCCTGTCAATCGGTTTAGACAATGGTGAGGTCTCTATAGAGCACTGTTCTGTCTGAAGGGAAGGCAGCTTGAAAGGTGGCAGGTGAGGCTTAATCATAGGGAGGAGGTGTACGTAGGAAGGGTGAAAGTACCCAGGAGTGAGGGGAGGGGAAATTTAAGGCTGGGGTGGCAGATGCAATTGAGTGGGGACTAAACTGAAGCCGCTGAAGGCAGGGGTCCCATAGACAGAAAAGCTTATGCCCAGGTTGCAGTGGCAGTAGGGTGAGGTAGGAAAAAAAGTGCCGGAACTGCCCCCCTGAGAACTTTGGACTTTCCACAAAGATATGTGTGTGTGTGTGTGTGTGTGTGTGTGTGTGTGTCACTTCAGTTTGGTGTCACTTCAGTTTCTTCAAGTAAAGGTTGGGAAGCTGAGGCCACAGAGTTCAACAGCACGGTTCCCAGTTTTTCTGGTGTGAGTTCGGCTCCCAGAGAAGCTATACTCCTGGGAAACTCCCTCTGCCTCTCTCATGAGTGCCTAAGAGTTAAAGCAGAAAGGAATAGAAGCTTTAAAAATGCTTACGTGTCCTGGTGCTTGCTCAAAATGGCGCACAGAGTCTTTCTCTGCTCCACACCCGTTTTGAGTTGAGGCAGCAAGCTCAGCCCTGTGCTGCTCCTCTGAGAGCTGAGTTTCGGCTGGGGGAAAAGGCCTGGAAGTTCATGACATGTACTGACATCCAATGAAGCTGCTGAAAGATTCAGGACAGATTTTTTAAAAGTACTTATTCATGCAGTACATAGTCAAATGCATAGGAAGCAGCGATGGCCACCAACTTGGATGGTTTTAAAAGAGGATTAGACAGATTAGAAGTAGTATGCTTCTGAACAACAGACACTGGACACTGCAGTAAGGTAGAGTGCTCTTGTGCTCAGGTCCTGCTTAAAAGTTCCCATAGGCATCTGACTGGCCACTGTGAAAACAGGATATTGGACTAGATGAGCCGTTGGCAGCCTCTTTTTATGTTCTTAGCATTCAAAGAACAGTTAAAAACATTACCTCAATTAGTGATTTCAGGGTTGTCAGCCATCAAATGCCTGGGTAAATAGAAATGTTTTTAAATCCCCCCTGAAAAACAATTTATAAGAAGCACATAAATACACTATTACAACTTAAGAGGGCAGGTGTGCAACGCATGCTGCTTTTTCATTCCCCTTCTACACAAAAAAGTTCAAATGAACAATTTATTGGGTAATGTGTATTTTCTATGAAGTCACATTCGTACGACCAAGGTGACCCACACAGCTCCCAGAACTTGTTAATGATAAATTTTAAGTAATATTTAACCTATAATATGGTCAGAAAGATTGAAAAAGATGTTTTGATGACTAAATATAGAAATTTTAAGTTTACTGTTGCCATGTTCAAAACAGATTAGGGCAGGTGAGACTCGAAGAAAGTGGTTTACCCAAGGCAACCTCAGAGCAAGTTTGTAGCATAGGTGAAATTTGAGTTAGGCACTTCCTGGCTCACAGCTTGATCTCTTAACCACTCCTCTCTAACCTAGTTACAGCAGGGGCAGAACCCACACCTTCTGAAGTTTCCATTTCTACTTAACTTTTAAAGGCTTAGCAACTCTGTCATGTATTTAATTGAATCATAGCAAACATACTGGCACCACCAGTTAAGACCAGCTGAGATCATTCACTATCTGTTGATTTTGCTGTAAAGAGCAAAAAGAAATGGGCAGAGAAATGAATCAGGATTGTTAAGCAAGACCTCACCACTTGCGGAAGGTGAACTGGGGCAATGATCTGAAGCCCAAGAGCAGAGATGTGATGTTTTCACATGCACCTTGGATTACATTTGTAGCTAACACAAATAACAAAAAAAATGTTTTGTACAGATGTACAGTACTATTTAAAATACAGTTTTGTAGCCTGAATCATATCCAGGTGATGGCCATTTCATTCCAACAGGCCTTTAGGAACTGACTGTTTTTAAGGAAAGGGCTGGTGTTGTGATGTTTTTCTTGTTACTATCTTGGTTTTTAATTGATCATTTTATATCATTTTAATTCTGTTAGCATCTAATTACTTTTTAATGATTCTCTTTTCTGTTTTATCTGTGTTTTTGTATTTTTATCTGTTAGCCACCTTGAGTTCCAGGCTGCAAAAAGGCAGAATATACATTAATATAAGGACTATGATGATAATATCGGTAGCCTGTGATGTAACAAGAAATATCAAATGAATATTCCCTTTAATGCTCTCACATCACCAACATATAAACAAGGCTTGTTTCTGTTAGCTATTTGTGATTTTTTATAAAAATGTATGCCTTACACAAATAGTTGAAAATAAATCTTACTTGTCGGGCTGGCAACATTTGAACAAGTAGTATTATGTACAAACTGCTCCAGACAGCATTTGAATGAAGTCCCCACACCCTCTCACCTTCATAGTCAAGGTGGAACTGAATAACCAAGCAACTCCCAACTGTCAACTGCCTGTTTCCAACTGCCACCTTATTTCCACAATATCATTTATTCAATGTGAAATACATTTCCATTGAAATTGCATTACAGATACTAACAGTTTCTAGGGTTGCAAAGCGACCAGAAAATGGGGTTGCTTCTGTTGTTATTCCTCCCCCACCTCCAATTTTGTTTTGCTTTTTTCATTTTATTTTCACTTCACAGTGAAGTTACTGCTTTTGTCCTCCCTGTCTCTGCCTCTGAATTAGTTTTAGGCTCCACACCCAGCCTCTGTCTAGCTATCAGAATTGTTTATTTCAAGACTAAGGCTGCAACCATATGCACACTTACCTAGTGTTAACTCCCATTTAATTAAATGGGGCTTGCTTCTAAGTAGGTAACACAGGACTGTAGTTCGTTTCCTTTCCAGAGAAGCCATAGCAGATCAAAGTCATCCAGTTAGTGTTCCCTGGCTGCATAATACTCTTTCCCAGCATTATTATTCAGCAATGGAATTTACAACAACAACCACAACTATTATTTTATTATTTATACCCTACCGATCTGGCTAGGTTTTCCCAGCCACTGTGGGCAGCTTACAGCATATCTAAAAACATATTTTTTTTAAATCAAGCATTAAAAACCTCCCAATACAGGGCTGCCTTCATTTCTCTTCTAAAAGTTGTGTAATTCCTTATCTCCTTGACATCTGAAGGGAGGGCATTCCACAGGGAGGGCGCCACTACTGAGAAGGCCCTCTGCCTGTTTCCAATAGGATCCTGAAAGCAAAGGGCTCTAGGTATAGACATAGTAATTCAATACAATATTAAAATCCATCTGTATTATTTGGAAACATGAAAAAGAAAAAGGAGGCTACACAGCTGAAAACCTATTAAAGCAGAGAAAAGGTCTGAAGCACTGAGAAGTATTATATGGTGAAATAGTATTAAATATAAAGGTAAAGGTACCCCTGCCTGTACGGGCCAGTCGTGACCGACTCTGGGGTTGTGCGCCCATCTCGCTTAAGAGGCCGGGGGCCAGCGCTGTCCGGAGACACTTCTGGGTCACGTGGCCAGCGTGACGAAGCTGCTCTGGCGAGCCAGCACCAGCGCAGCGCACGGAAACGCCGTTACCTTCCCGCTATAAAGCGGTACCTATTTACAGTGGTGCCTCGCAAGACGAAATTAATTCGTTCTGCGAGTTTTTTCATCTTGCGAAGCACGGTTTCCATTTTTTCAAAAAAATCTTCAAAAACCTCAAAAAAGGCTACCACACCGTGTGCTATGAGTTGCTCCTCGAAGTCAAGTCGCAACTGCACCTCTTCAAGCAATGCACCCTGTATTACTGTAACGGTTTTAAGAAAAAGGAAACAAACTTGCAAGACGTTTCCGTCTTGCGAAGCAAGCCCATAGGGAAATTCGTCTCGTGAAGCAACTCAAAAAACGAAAAACTCTTTCGTCTTGCGAGTTTTTCGTCTTGCGAGACATTCGTCTTGTGAGGTACCACTGTATCTACTTGCACCTAAGAGTGCTTTCGAACTGCTAGGTGGGCAGGAGCTGGGACCGAACGACGGGAGCTCACCCCGCCGCGGGGATTCGAACCGCCGACCATGCGGCAAGTCCTAGGCACTGAGGTTTTACCCACAGCGCCACCCGCATCCCTGTATTAAATATATGCATGCACAAAATCAAAACAAACTTTCTAGGACATCCATTTTAAAAACAACAACCATATGTATACTTTTCTGGGCACATAACATAAAATTTGACACATGCTACAGGCACACAAGGTCTACCCATTCCAATGAAATGTGTCTATAGCTTGCACTTCATTCACCACAAGGTGGCACAGAAACACAAACAGAATCACTTCAGAGTACTGGAATTCCACCAGGTGTCAACCGAGCGAAAACAAGAATGACTTTTTGACCAAATACCGGTACTTCTATGTAACTGAAGTCCTAAACTTTTGCAGTCTATTCATAAGCATGTGTACTCAGCAATGAGCACTACCAAGAGTTCAGTGAAACTTACTTCCTGGCATGTATGCTTAGAACTGCAGCTCTAAAGTACTTGGTTACTTGTGAGTAACTTCCTCATGAAATGCTGAGTTCAGCTCAAAGCCATGCTGCAATCTGAGCTGCAATTCTGAGACAAGAAGTTTCAGCAGAAATGCATATGCTCAAAATAAAATATGTGAACTATATTTATAAACTCAGGAAATGATGAGTTCATCTGGCCTTTAGAAGTGCAACGAGAAGCAAATAATTTGTGAACAAAATGCTAGAACTTTTGAATAGCTAATATACATTCTGTGAATTCACCAAAAACCATGTACTTGTACCTTTTGACTAAAAGCTTTGCTTGCAAAATACCTGAAGAGGCCAGTGACAAGTAGGATTGTGAGTGAAAGCAGTGCTCTATTATCCCATTAATGGTTTGAAGGCTGTGATCCTGTACACACTTGCCAGGAATTAAATCTCATTTAACTCAAAGAGGGCTTGTTTCTGAGCAGATGCATATAATAGAAACCAACCAAAGTGAATCCACCCTTGTTTTTCATGCAGCATATCTTTGTCAAACAAATTAATAAAATTGTATCAAATCAATTGACCTGTAGCCAATACAGCATTTTTTTAAAAGATGGCACAAGGCAGATAAATTCTAACAACAGCAATGCAAATCACAGGCGATTGGGCTTTAATAGCATAGGTCTCAATAAGAAAACCACCTCGGGGGCTTTTAAGAAAGCTGTCTTAATATAGGAAACCTGCTAATATTTGCAAGTAAATTTTAGATGTCCAGGCCCTTAGCATAGATTTCCAAGCGTATCTTCTTTTTCAAAAAATCTAGAACTAAATGCAAAGCAAAGCAGACCAACCTCCCCAACTGCGGAGATTTCTGCCTCCCTCTGAAAAGATGCTAATTCCGTCCCTGCTCCCATTTAGTGTTATTCCTGGTATGCCGTGGTATTTTTTTAAAACAATAATTTCGCTTCTTTGTAATGCAGGTTGCCCTGCAGAGCCATTGCAAGACAGTTGCCCCCATCACTACCTAGCATCACTACCTATGAGGTTTCTAAGCTGGGCTCGGCTGTTTGGAGGAGCTCTAACCGGTAAGCCCCCTTCTCCTCTGACCATTTCTTGCTTCCACAGCCTAGGAAAGCAATGCATTCCTCTTCTTACGGCCGTAAACTGCTGCTCTCGCTGCAAAGGCAGCTTTCATTGCACTCGAAAGGGAAGGCGGCTGCCTTGCACGCAGCCGAGCGCGCCGCTCTGCCTCTGTTACACCTACTGTATAAGGGGAGAAGCGCCGCGCCTGCGCGCTGGGGTTGTTTTTCACAAAGCTCCTTAAAGCGAGCAGGCAACGACCAGTCGCCTGTCTTTGTAAGGAGACCACAGAGCCGGAGAGCAGCTGTGCGCGGCGTCTCGCCTTGCCTACTTTTTAAGCAACACCGATGAAGTGCTCGTAGGGAACACGCTGATCCTGCCCGCAGCCTTTTTCGCAGGGCAGAGGAGCTGATCAGTGTGTCAGGCGGAGATCGCATTTTTATATGAGATCTTGACTTTTTTCTCTCTTCCCCCTCCTTTTTTCTTACAGTATATTTTTATAGACTTTTGTTATATTGAAAAACAAAAAACTCAACATGGTGCTGGGGAAGGTGAAGAGTTTGACAATAAGCTTTGACTGTCTTAATGACAGCAACGTCCCCGTCTATTCTAGCGGGGATACAGTCTCAGGAAGGGTGAATTTAGAAGTGACTGGGGAAATTAGAGTCAAATCGCTTAAAATCCATGCAAGAGGACATGCAAAAGTACGCTGGACTGAATCTAGAAATGCTGGATCCAACACTGCCTACACACAGAATTACACTGAAGAAGTAGAATATTTTAACCATAAAGATATCTTAATTGGACACGAAAGAGGTAAGTCTGAATTTTTAACTGATTACTCTAAAATGACGGGTTGTTTGGGGGGGGGTTTTCTATCGGAAGGCAAATTTCTTTTGATCACTGCAGTCTGATCCTAGCACGCTTACTCAGAAGTAAACCCCACTGAATGCAATGGAACTTGCTCTCATGTAAGTGTTTAGGAGCACCGCGTCAGATGCATAGCTATTTAAAGCCATAGAATGTGTAAGGAAGCAAATAGGGTGACCCCCCCAAGATCTCGGTGCATCTATAAAGTGGCTCCAGATAAGACTTTTCTCCAACTCTAGCCTGCTCTTTAAGAGACCCTATCCACTTCATAATTAAAAAGAAATTGAATGTGGGGTGGGGGATTTTGCATCAACCTACCGAAACCTAAATGATCCCCAACAAATTGTTTTGCTAATGCCACCAGTTCGGGGTTTCGAGCTGGCAAGTGATGTCGCCTTCAGGATGGAGAATTGTTAGCAAGAGAAAGGGTTCCCTGCGGTTTATTTTGACACTTGCTTTCAGCACCCCACGTGTAGGTCCACGTTCCCTTTCCCTTAAGCTCGGAAAAGTTGGGAAATCAGCCTTGTTCTTTTAGAACGCTTCTGCCAACGAGCCATATGTAAAAGCTATGTTGGGGGTGGGTGGAGAACCCTCATGTAGGCGAATCCATTATAGAATTAGGGCATCATTTCGAAGTTGGGGACTTCTGCAGTCCATCCTATGGGCTGTGTCATTGCGAAGAATTCTACAATTTGAGAGCCGCATTGATTTGGAAAACGAGGATCAACCTCGTCGAGGGGTTAAATGGTCTTCGCATTGTTAATCTATTGTTCCAAATGGCATCAGTGTGCAAGTATAGGAGACTCTAAGGTTGTTTTTCTGAAGTTTCCACCCTTTGTTAGAAGCGGTTCAATCCTGTTTGGGACCAGTACTGAAGAGAAGGGAGGGGGTGCTCCTTCTCCTCACAGCAGATTGGTTCTACGCGTCAGGTGGTGGCGATGACTTAATTCCTAGCACAAGAAAATGTTAAAACTGGTTATGTAATTTTTCCTTGCGCTTTCTCTTATATGTATATATATACACACACATATATATGCAGTAGATTTGCTGGTGCGGACACGAGAATTTTGTAGAAGGCTCAGATCGAGTGTCGTGCTTTTGTTTTTTAATGCACTAGGAAGTTGCACAGTATATATTGCATTGCACGCAAAGGATGGGCGGGTGAAACGTATTAATCAGGGAAGTGGAAGAATTTTATGCAGTCTTAAAACTGCATACCCTTTGATTCAGCTGGTGTGCAAAAGTGCATAGCTTACCCCCGGCACTGTGAATCTTAAAAGGCTGCTGCTCCGTAACAGATATGCAAAAGGGGCAAAAGCATCCAAGCCACGCATGCACAAATAACCAATGCAGCTTTTTAAGATGGGCTGCAAGTGAAATAAGAGAGTCTTTTCAGTGCCTTTTTCCAGAAAGCAGAACTGAGCTTGCACCTGTTAATGCCGTAGCTGCGTCCTAGGACCCCAACCACCCGTGAGTGTGTGTGCTTGTGTGTCTTTATAATGGCAGAAACCTAAGCTTTCGAGTATCTGAACCTAGGGGGAGGACCTTGGCTGAGCACGTTCACCCTTCTCCCCCGTGCCGCCAAAGGCAGCGAGTGGCCTGCTTGGCTGGTGAGCCCCGCGCCCTCTGCCCTCTCCCCTCTCGCGCCAGCACCAAGGCAAGCTGGCCGAGGGAGTTTCAATGACTTAGCCGCGGAAGGCAGAAACCCTGCTCAGCCTAGCGTGCTCGCGAAGGAAGCCCCGCCCAGCACCCGCACCGTCATTGGCCCGCCGGGGTTTGTTAGCCTGTTGCTAAGGTAATGCCTGGTCTTGATTGGGAGGCGGGTGAGCCCGAGAGGGCGGGGGGAGGGAGGAGCGGCGAGAGGAGGCGGGGCTCTCGTTTCCGGATCTCGCCAGTGTCTTGCAAGGCGGGCGGCTGCGCGGACGGGCTTTCGGGTGCCTGGTCTTCTCGGTCGCGGGTTGTCCGCTACGGGCTCCCCTTTGTCCCGCCGCAGCTGCTTTGTGTGCGGCCCTGGAGCGCTTGACTTAGGTGGCAGGCACGTGTGGAAGTGCATACACGCGCCCTGCACTGCAAGGGCCAGTTGTTGTAAGGGGCGCCTTTGCTCGCTCGCACCTGCTGCTGTTGCACCTCGCGAGACGGGCCCCGGGCTTCTCCAGTGCATTTTGTGTGTTGGTGAAAGTTGCATACTGAAGCCTTCTCTCCCCCCCCCCCCGCAGTTAAGTTCAGACCCATTAAAACAATGGGGGGGCCCGCTCCCGGATTCTCTAGCGGGATCTTTCCTAGTCCCTCGGGTGCATAAAAGGGCGCATCGGATTGCGGGCCGACCTATCTGCAAGGCTCCTTGTTGCCACGTCTTAGCCGCGGATGCTTGGAAATGGGGGGGGGGGGTCTTGAACATGTGGATTCCATCAGCGTCGGGATGTGGATGTGCGCGCCGTCACGTACAACCAAAGTCCACTCTTGTCCACAAATCAGCATTGGCGAGGTCAAACCCAGTGAACATGGCCGAATATTTCGTGTGTGTATGTGTAACAAGTTATGACATCAACAGCAAGCCTTGCTCAAATGCCATGCCAGTTGGGGTTGGGCCTCTAAATGCAGCCATTGGAAGCCTGCGGGAATTGGCAATCAATCTCCACCCTACATGCATATATCTGCTGGAGAAATATAATGTTGGCTGGGTGCAGCCTTAAACCGCGCAGAACCGGGATTCCCCCCAAGAAACACAATAACAAAAGATGTCCCTTACAGGGGAGCTAGATCGTTGGTCCACTTAGCTCGGTATCGCAGGCACTGGCGGGCAGCAGCCTTCCCCAGCGATTGAACGTGTGCAACCGTGTCTATGCAAAGCACGTGTTCTGCCAGTTCTACCCTGAATGTGCAGGTGCCCGGGTTAGCACCCGTGTCACCCAAAAAAGCTGCGGACCTAAAATGGGAGACGGATTCCTTATTCTAAAGATAATCATTCTCCCCCCCCCCCCCCAAATTACAGAATTTCCCCCTACAGGGCAACGCAAGCAGCTTTCCTTTATTTCAGGCAAAGGTATATTTGCAAGGGGGGTGCGCGTGCCTTGGATCCCCACGTCCCGCTTAACTGCAGCCTTTGCGTTTAGCAGACCTAACAGTTCCCTGGATGCAGCTTTGCAGAAGCGAACCCCGTTTTCTCTCCCCCCCCCTCAGCCCCCCCCATCTTTTGCATTTTGCTTTAATTGCGGCGAAGCGGCCGCTGCCTTTTGTCACGTTTCCACCGGTTACCCGGAAAGGGCATTGCTGAGCCACGCCATGCCATGCCAAGCATCAGGGACCGGAAGCCGAAGAAGGGAAAGAAGCGGCTGTTCTTCTCTCCCTCTCCCTCCCTTCCCCCCTCCCCCTTCCATGACGCCTACAGCGAAGCAAGTTCGGTTGAGGGGTGCGGAGCCGCTGAGCAAATAGGCTGGCTCGGGAAGCGCAATGTATACTGTATGCATATGAGCGGCTGGCTGGCTGGGACTCTGCTCGCACCGGTTTAGGCCGGTCCTCTCCTGCTTGAGTCTAGTCTGTGATTGACAGCTCAGCACTTGTTTACCACAGCTCGGCTGCTGCTGCTCTTCTTGCTGAGGCTGAAGGGAAACTGCTGAGCTGGCAGAAAGGGGGGGCGGGAGAAGGAAAAGGGGAAAGATTCTAAAAACAAAAACCCCAGTGGAAAAAAATTAACAGATATATATATATTTAAAAACCACGTACACTAACACGAATCACACGAAAGCTTTTCTTTCAGGAAAAACACACAATTATAATAACCCACTACATTCTGTAGACGCCAGGGAGTTTTAACTTGCATTTAGATTTAGTACATTTAGTACGCTTTGCCTGTACGTAATGGCATTCTTAGTTCCTTTACGGTTCTCTCTGTATAATAATCTTTTGAGCCTGGAGGGTGTGGGCAGGCAAGCAAGCTGTCCTTTGTCATGCAATGACTTTTGTGCCCCCCCCCCCCGCCCGTGAATTTCAAGGGCACCAGTCAGAAGGCATGGCTAACTGATTTGCACCTTTAGATTCGGTGCTTGATCACCCTTTTCATATATTGCCACAAACCTTAACAATATAGCCTTAACCCGAATTTCCCTCTCCACGTCTTGAGAGATATGCAGCCCTTTTTCTAGTTTTGTAGGAATTTCAACCGAGCCTTCCTTGATATTTAAGGTATCCAGGAATTCAAAGGGCAAGGAAGGTCACCTTTAAAACGAACATTGCCTTCTCCTGCCTCTGTACTTCATCTCCTCAGCTAGATTCAGTCCAAAAGCAGCTTTTGAGTTATTTCCGATTAATGTGTGGTATTGTCGATGTCAATTTCTGACACTTTCAAGGTGTCCTTAAAAGGACGAAGAAAGTTTTATGTTCGAATGGGTTTCAGTAAAAACCCTTATTCTCAAAATGCCTTACTTGGAAATAATTATATTGACTTTGACCGGACAATAAGCTAAATACAGTACTTGGTATTAAATCAGTACTATTATTTTTAATATTGCTGTTAAGCATTCATCAGTAAGCAATAAATGTAGCAGGCACATTGGTGCATAGTAGATTAAATACAACCTTAACCTGCAAGGAGCTTGCAGCCTGAATTCAGACACAGGGGAAGATAAGAAAAGTTAGCAGGGATGAATATTGCTGAAATAAAAGTAGCTGCTGAATTTAAATACATTCAAAGAATTGTTATTAATATAACAATTTGAAACTAAAATTCATATTGGGAATTAATCACAGACCAGTTACTATAATAGAAAGCTATTCAGGTCAATGGAACAACAAAACTGAGGGTGATGTTTACAGTTTTGCCCCTCCCCACTAATAATGCTTACACTGATTCCTCTCTGTGCAAATCCTGTATAATATATTAAGATATGTGTACAATATTTACAGGTGGAATAGCATATTGGGTTTTTCCCTCCTAGATGATGACAATTCTGAAGAAGGCCTCCACATCATTCATTCAGGACGGCACGAATATGCATTCAGCTTTGAGCTTCCACAGACGTAAGTATATGTGCTACTTGGGTTGTGTCAGAGACTGGCAAAGAGCATACTGGCAGCAAATCAATAGTCCTAAAACTCATAGGTTGAGATGGGGCAGAGGGAAGAAAAAACCCTTTTCAATGGTCATGGAGATTGCACTACAAAATGCTGCAAGGGCATTGTCCTGATCGATTATTAAGAGACTGCTTTAATTCATAATAGGAAAATAATGGGGAAAAACTGGACCAACTATTGCCCTTTGGTCAGTAATCCCCTTTTAAATCCTATTCCCCACCCAAGATACTCTATTTGCTCAGCTCATGACCTAGTTGGTTTGCTACAAATGGGATAAACGATTGATCACTGGTCCTTTTAGAGCTGCTGGCATGACTTCCACGTCAAATTAAGGGTGTACAGAACTGTATAGCTTGTTGTTTCAGTTGAACATGTTGAAACATAACAGCCAGGAAGACATAAATCAGAACAAAGCAGGATAAAATATGAGTGTTGAGGAATTGTTCAATGAAGGCAGTGGCTCGGCGTTTGTAAGATAGTGATTATATAAAGAAAGCTAGAATTAGAGGAATAGGAGATATAGGTCAAAGGAAGGCAATGGCAAAGGAATTAGTAGCATTAAAGTGTTTTAAAAATAGGAAATTAGGAGGAAGGTCTGAAAATACATTGTAAGATTATGAGTTCAAATACTAGAAGAGAGGAGGAGGGGAGTGATATATATGCACATCAGGGCTTAAACATTATGAGATTATAGACAGATATACATAGAAAGTGACTGGAGGAAACCAGGAAGGATGGAAGGCTGAGAGAAGGAGATTTTCATAAAGGAAACTGGAATAATAACCATGTTTGTAAGCCTTGCAGCAAAATGATGCAGTCACTGCTTTCGTGTTGCATATTGAAAGCTCACGCAGAGCCTTCTTTTGAGTGTCTGCAGTTTTCTAGCCTATGTGGCATTTGCAGGTTCTCAGTATCCTATGGGGTTCCTTTCCAAAGATGCAATGTGACAAAATTTAGTTACTCCAGTCTGAAGGCTACTTTTAAAAAGTACGTTTTTGGAGTATAATTAATGTACAAGGCAATAAATGTGTTAATTGATGAAACTTATAAGGGGAAAAGGATCTGTAGGAAATTCTCAGACAGAACTACTTGCGCAGGGCAACCTGTAGAAATGTACCCTGCAAACTTAGATGAGAAAAGGTTAGCTGACCTCATTGTAGGTCGCAGAACTGGCAGGAGAATAACGATGAGACACCAAAGCCATCAACTCTAATAGTTGTGATTGTTTTTTAATGAGCCTGTTTCTTAGTAGCATAGATAAGAGTATATTAGCTGAAAATAATGTATAATTTTATAATTTTAATTCTGCTATTCTAGGTGCATTCTTAATACCAAGAAATTTAATGATGTCATTCTGGCTCTAACAGATTTCCTGTATGCCTCCATTAAAGTTTCAGAGTATACAGATGGATGCTGTTTTTCCCCTGGAAGTTCTGAAAAACAGCTTTTCAAATACAAGCATAAAGTGGTTAAATAAAATAATTTCGTATCTTCTCATGCCTGAGAACATACCTGTAACTATTAAGGAACAGCCAAGCACTACAGGAACTGAAGGAGCATCTCCTACATTCATTGACTCTGACCTTGAAAAACATATATGAACTGAAATACTTACTGACTTTAATACAGTAGAGGTTTGGGTCTTTCTGGAAGTCAACTATTTCAAAGCAGTTTGTTGGCCTCATTTAGCTACTGCCTGTATAACCTACTCCCTAGATTTAAAAAGTGATTCCTTGTGAGAATAAAGAAACATCACCTGGTCCCAAATGAGGTTAAGGTGGAACACTTGGATTTAAATTTGTTGTGCTCCAATTCAACTGGAGTAAGTTGTGTTTATCCAAGTACTTCAGCTTAACTAGGTTGTGGGTTGGATTAATGTTTCCTTGTAGCATTCTACAGTGCAATTTCTGTACAAATATGGTTGTATTCTGTATATCTGCTCAGCAATTAATCTTAACTACAGAGATATTTCTCCCAAACTAATTGAACATCAAAATCCTACAAATTATCCTTAATTACATACTATGATGCATTAACAGTACAGTACAACTTATTATTACCCACTGTATACTTAAGCTAGACAACAACAGAAATAAAGACTCATTCAGCTTTGACCTTTGTGTCCTGAACAGACCACTTGCTACCTCATTTGAAGGCAGACATGGCAGTGTGCGCTATTGGGTGAAAGCAGAATTGCACAGGCCTTGGCTTCTACCAGTAAAATTAAAGAAGGAATTTACAGTCTTTGAACATATAGATATCAACACTCCTTCATTACTGGTAAGAATTGACAGAATTACTCATTCTTTGTTTTTGGCATAAAAAACAGCAACACATGGTCCATGAAATATCAAAACGTGTAACAATAATTGTTAAGTACAGTGAAATACTTTAAAGTATAAGACTATAATGACCCAGTAAGTGGTAACATTGTTATAATAATTTAATCAAGTATTTTTAAGCTGCTTGTTTTTAAAGTAATGTATTTTAACTGTTCTAATAAAAATTAACTGCTATATGGAACAGTTGTATTTCTGCAAGAAACTTCAGCTTGAGAATGTTGCAGCTTGATCAAGCAATGTAAAAAAAACCAAACCAATTGTACTGCCGTGCATTATTCATTATTCTACTACTGATAATTTACCTATCAAATGGGGAGAAATGATCATACTTCTGTATGTTATCATAAAATCTTATTTTGATAAATGTTTTGACATTTTAATAAGATTATTTCAATCTGACCTGAACTATTTTATTATCTCCTGGATTTTAATTAAATATGTGAAAATGGAACACGTAAAGAAAAGTCCATTGAAACAGGGTTCTTTTTGCTTATGGCTGAAAAGTCATTTTATCTGGGAGGACATAGGACTGTATCTAAAACCCACCAAAATCAACATGAATATTTCTATAGATTTTTGTGGGTTTGGACAAGGAATTGTTTTCATATGGGGTGGGGGAACAAGAATATAATTACCTTTGTGTACCTTCCTGTCAAGAAATGAATGTTGGTGTCCGAAATAAAGGGTGATGTGAGATATCACTTCATGCAATAAATGTTCAGAAGGCAACACTATTAAATGTTCTGAGAATTTCAGACTTAAGGCATGCATACCTGGAAGTAATTCATACTGAAATTGGGAAAGCTTTTGGAATTCGGGTATATGGCTTCAGTCAATTTGGGCTTATTACAATAGGTTTTAAAAAATGGTCATTCTAAACACATATACTTAGAATGTCTATCTGGCTTATATTCTAAGATCATGAACCAAAATTTACTTATTTGAAAGTAAGCTTCATTTCATACAGTAAGTTCATTTATAGATATTTGGTAAGCATTACAACCATTTAACATGCCTGCATGCATGCTTGAGTGGAAGGAAGTCTCAATTAACTGAGTTAAGTGAAGCTTATTTCCAGGTGTGCATAAAATCTGGCTTTAAGTTCATTTAGACTTTGAGCCTTAGCAAATGTGTTGATGGATACTTAAAATACTTGGGGCACCTGTCCATAACATAAATGCATAGAGTGCCTCTGGGCATATTAAGATGTCAAGGGGCTGGGGGAATCTTATCATCACTGCACTTTGCAGTGTACTCAGCCACCCTGTCTTAAAAGTTGTTTCTAAAAATATGTATTTTAAAAGGTGAGGTGGGGGAGAACGAAACAGTGCAAAAGACCTGGTGCTTACCTCTGGGCCTAAACCTGAGGTTTAAGAACAAGAACTTGAGAGCATAATTGCATTGTGGATCTGGCTTTAAGATGCAGTCTGTTGCATTTTTTTCATATTTAGATTGCACTCTGAAGTATATTTACTTGGCAGCAAATCTCACTTAAACCAGTGTCCAAATAAGCATGGTTACGATCATCCTTATTATATTCATCAGGATTAATGTAGAAACCTATGAAGCTGCCGTATACCAAAGCAGTACATTAGTCCAAGTATTGTCTATACTGGGGGTGGGGAACCTCCAGATATTGTTGAACTCCAGCCCCATCAGCCCCAGCCAGCATGACCCAACAATCAGGGATGATGGGAGTTGTAGTTGAACATCATCTGAAGGGCCACTCACTGGTCTGTGAACTGCAGCTCCCCAACCAAGGTTTCAGACAGACATTCCCCGCCCCCCCAGTCCTACTTGAATATATCTGGCATTAAGACTTTTAATGTATATTACATACTCTACCATTAAACTTAGCTGGTACACTTAGTCTTAAGTGCAAGTATACTGATTTAAGGAGTGAGAAAATGGATAGGTGTTTTTTCTTTTTTGTATTTTCCTGTGAACCCATTTCCAACAATGTTGGAAGCAGATTTAATGGAAGCTCGCCTACTTTACCCACACAGTTAGTTTGCTCATGTAATGGGTAAGGGAGACAAGGAATCATTGTTCTGTGACATTTGGACACTTCCAGACATTAGCTTTCTTCTGCAGTTGTAATGATAACAGGCACATTGACATGATAGCCAGACAGGTGTCAATTCTGCCCAAAATTGTGTTGATCATTGCTCGTCCAGATGCACTAGCAAAATCAGCATGTGAGGGAACAGCAACCTTTGTGCAAAAACTGCAACTATATGTTCAAACCCTCATGATAACAGATACCACTTTAATAGGGTATTCTGTTTCATATATGGGTTTGTAGTTAACCTTTGCTGAAAAGCTGCTGTCTGGAAGCAACCCTGCGAATATACAGAGCTGTATTATTTCCACTGAGCTAAAAATGTAAATGTTTAATATCTTCATTCTGTTTTTCTTTCAGTCACCCCAAGCAGGCACAAAAGAAAAGACTCTCTGTTGCTGGTTTTGTACCTCAGGCCCAATATCCTTAAGTGCCAAAATCGAAAGGAAGGGCTATACCCCAGGTATGTAACATGAGTTCTTTTTGAAATGGGTGTATGTGGCTTTCTGAGTGGGCTTCCTGGATTCAGCAAAACAGAATGTCCTACCAACTGGTGCATACATTAGTTTTGCATCTTTACTGTCTAGGGGTGTAATTCAGATCATTTGCAACCAGTTTGTTTTTCCATTTATTTGAATGGGATGGAGGATGTACATGCTCCCATAATCTTGTTGGGGTTGATCCTAGAACTCTTCCCATTGAACTGTTGAATGTTCTTAGCATTGCTAGACTAAGCAAGAATAGTATTACCAGCTGTAATGTTTGAATTTTAAGTTGAGTTGTCTTCCTTTCATCTAATGCATCTGTTCTCTGTTTCATTGAAGGTGAATCAATTCAGATCTTCGCAGAGATTGAGAACTGTTCCTCCCGGATGGTGGTGCCAAAAGCTGCCATTTATCAAACACAGGCATTCTATGCGAAAGGGAAAATGAAGGAAGTAAAGCAGCTTGTTGCCAACTTGCGTGGGGAATCCCTGTCGTCGGGGAAGACAGAAACCTGGAATGGCAAGCAGTTAAAAATTCCACCCGTCTCTCCCTCTATCCTTGATTGCAGTATAATCCGCGTGGAATATTCTCTAATGGTAGGAACTTAATGTAACCTTTAGATATTCAATGCTCTAATACAAATATTCATGGTGGATGTATAGTTTCAGCTTTTCATAAATTTGTGTTGCTTATCTTCTAGGTATACGTGGATATTCCAGGTGCAATGGACTTATTTCTTAATTTACCACTTGTCATTGGTACTATCCCTTTACACCCGTTTGGCAGCCGAACTTCAAGTGTGAGCAGCCAGTGTAGCATGAACATGAATTGGCTTGGTCTGACACTGCCTGAAAGACCAGAAGGTAATTTGACCACATAGATTCTATATTGTTCATTGGTGTATTCTTACGTGAGCACTTTATTCTCTTAGTATCTTATTAATACAAACTTTGATAATCCTGTTGCACGCTGGTGGAATTATCTGCTAGGAATCACCATGGTATCATTCTGACAGCAGGAAACTCAGGCCTGTTCTCCCCTGGAAAAAAATTTTTAGGGCTGAGCTACCATAACGTCTGTTGAATTGTACTAATTTAGAAGAGGCTTACAATCAACAGATATGAAAGATACCAACACTGTTTCTTTTTTTTGGCCTTCTTGATCTGTAGTCTCCAAGGCTTCTTGTAGATAAAAGCTTAATTCCTTGAATTATGTTATCCCTTCTTGGTATTTCTCACCTAACATTCAAGAGGTGACAATGTCTCGCTAGCTTCCTCCTCTGAGTTTGCACAAAAACAGTTTGAGCATGCATGTAGTTTCCTGTGCATGATGCTAAACCTGCTTTAGCATTCAGTCATAAGTTTACCAAAACTGTCCAATAAAATTAGAGCAAACAGACCAGCTGTTGAGCCTTTCTTATATCTACCTTGTGCAAATCACAATAACTAAAGTTTAATATATTTGTCATGTTATATATCTTGACATGCATAAGAACGTTGTTCGAACTGCGTGTACTTTTGCCTTCAGCACCTCCTAGCTATGCAGAAGTGGTCACAGAAGAGCAGAGACAGTCCAGCCTAGCACCTGTAGCTGCTTGCGATGACTTTGAAAGAGCACTTCAAGGACCATTATTCGCCTATATCCAGGAGTTCCGATTTCTGCCTCCTCCACTCTATTCTGAGGTAAGGTTACAAGTACACAGCGAAATCTGCATTCCATTTTAAAATAAGACTATTTTTGCATGTGCTATTCTTCCTAGAATATCCCCCAAGATCATGCAATCTATACTTCATCCTAGGTGGTCTTACTCTGACTAGGCAGTTACTATGTCTGAAGAGGCGAGGGGACAAGTAGTCGTCCTCCCCAGCCCCAGCTGCTGTGCTTAACCTTCCCAGAGGCTGCTGCTGCTGCTGCTACTTCTCATGGGTAGGAAGAGCGAGCTTGTCTGCTCCGCTCTCTGGCCCACAGGAGCACCAGGGCGGTGGCGGAGGGAAGATGAGCAGCATGAAAGGGCTGGCTCCAGAGAGGGGCTACTTAAAATGGCACTCAGCCAGTTCAGCCCAGCCCCCTTCCTCCTCTAGGGAGGAGGTGCCACCGCAGTGTGTGGGGGGGATAGAATGGTCCGGGGGGGGGGAAATGGCGCAGCCCAAACAAACAGAATCCCCGCACCAATCCACAGACAGTCCGCAGGCCGGATCCTGAAGGCAATTGGGCCTGATCCAGCCCGCGAACCTTAGTTTGCCAACCCCTGCTCAAGACTCAGCTGTTGTGATTTTAAGTAGTAGGACTCTGTCATAATAATAGAAAAGTAATGCTTGTTTAAGGACTTGACCATTATGTAGCAGCATATGATGATGTGTACAGTTTTTTAAAAAACTAGTTTAGTTTCCAACTCTGCCCAGTTCGTTGTTTTTTACAACTTGCTCATCGAGTATAAATAAATGTGAACCAATGTGTTACATACAAAAACAGATACATGAAATGTACCTACACTTCAGCCGATTCATTCCTCTTTTTAAAATCAATAAAATTATGTTGCTTTAAATGCAAGCTACCAAGTTGATTTTGTAATTAACTGCTTTAAATGTTTTCCTCAACTGAAGGATGACTGTGCACTGGCGCTGTGTTCAGTGTGGAAAGTGTGGATAGGATTGCAACATTAGCAGTCATGTCAATTATAGCTGTGTGTGGCTGTAACTGAGCACAGAGTGGTGTGCATCTGTTTTAGTTATGGTGGACTCCCATATAGCATTCTGTGGCTTGAAGTTCTCTGGATTGGCATATTCAATGATTGCCAGTAAGAAGGCTCCTGATAAAATAAGACACTTGAGTTGACAACTTGTTTTCTCATTCCTCTTCTGAACAGCCTTCCAGGCTATTTCATACATTGTAAATGAGAAAGATGCATTAACTGCAAACAACATAGTGCCCTCTAAAAATGGATGCCAAACCAAAATAAATGTAAAATAGCATGGAAATTCTAAATGTTTTCAAATAAAATAATCATTTTTATCATCTTTCATGATTAAGGCTCCTTTGTTCTAGAAAGGCGGTGTTGCTGTTTTTGTTTTAAAAAGCAACAGCAAAGAATAAACTTTTTTCTCTCCTTTGCTCAGATTGATCCAAACCCAGATCAGCCCTCAGATGACAGGCCATCCTGCCCCTCTCGCTGAAGGAATGCCTCATAAGAAGAGTTGACTTGGGTCTGAGATGTATTTTCGCCGTGTTGCGGATAAAGGTGTCCTACGGAGACTACACATTAAAAGGAAGTTCTTGCATAAAAGAAAAGGTGAAATACTGAAACAACCTGTGATTATGCTTTTGAAGCCTACAGCAAACATCATAGGACTGCTCATCATGCTTGAAGATCTGAGCTTTTCCTCCCTGTTGTATACTGGCACATACTAAGAGCAGCCTTAATAGCCTACACTCTCGTGTCAAAACACTCACCGTGTTGCAAGAGGGACGACATCCTCTTTTGATTTGAAAATTTGCACATGCTCAATGCTTATGTTGTGCGGTTCGGTGTCACTACAGCTTTTTCTCATTTATGTTAGACTGTTGTTACCCCCTTCTTAACTTGTTTGTGGTCCGCACAACAAGGAGCAAAAGAAAGCTTTGAAAACTTTACGATGACAAATGCACTGACTTTTTTTATTTAGAAAAACAAACAATATAGTCTGGACTTTTCCTGCATATGCACATGCTCAGAATTGTCCTAATAAGACTGATCCATGTATCACTTCTTCAGCTTGGATCCTGCTGTGGATTTATTATAAACATCAATGCCTTCAAGCCAATCCTTGCTGTATGTTTTGCAGCCTACTGTAGTAGATAAGCAACAGATATGCGGGGGGGAAATAACCGAAGAAAACCAATAGGAGTCTTCGTCAAGATTGTATACCTTCTTGATTCCTTTTAAGAATTTGTTGCCTTTCTACTATTACCGCAAAGAAGAATTTTGTTACAGACTGCCTAAAAATCACTTAATCTCAGGTGAACTCATCACTTGCCAAAACGTTGAAATGCTATTTGTGTTTTATGTTGCACTGTTGAATTTTTTTTCCCTTCCTGTTTTCATTACTTTTTTGTTTGGTTTGGAAAGGGGGACTTGGAAAAGGGACATACACAAAGGAGCTCATCCTCATTTCTTATTATCTTTCCAAAACATGAGACATGATGAAGAAGGGCTTGGTCAAGTTACGGTGGTTTTTTTTAGATGAGCCACATAAGTTAGCACCCAACATTTGTCAGCCAAGAGTTACTGGAGAAAAGTTGTGTAGAATTCATATCATGTTTCACATAGGAGTTTCTCGACCAGTGAGATGGGATGGGGAAAATGAATTTATTTTTATACGTAGTTATCCCATGACCACAAACTTGTGTAAAATATTTGTACTGAACTTTTAGTTGGGATGGGAGGGAGTCTTTTCTCAAATGAACAGTGTATTTTAAAGGATAGAAAGGGGATCCTTTTGGAAAAGATTTCCCAAGGACTGCCACTCTCTCCAAGAGTGAAGAATTATACTAGTAAAATTAGTAACCAGAATTGCTTTGACTGCATAATTCAGAGTGATGTTCAGCGCAGATTACAAAGAGTAAACTGGTGGATGATGGGTGTGAGAGGCTCTTGACACAAATGCTAGTGTTTCAGCATTAAAGATATACTTTGACACACAACTGTCCTCTTCAGGAACAAACTCACGACTGATTATTATTATTTTTACCAAAAGCAGCCTTCCTGATGTTGAGATGTACAGTAGTGTGGCTCCTGCATTAAGGCTCCATGCTTTATAACCATTGTTGAAGCTTCATGGCATAACAAACAGGACAGGCTTTTCCATAAGTGGCCTTTCAGAAAACATGGACAACAATTCATGTTTGAACAATAACAGGGTGAAAAAAAAACCCCAGTATAAAATGAGTCACGTTTTAAGTGATTCACTTAAAAGAGTTTGGCCTTCAGCAAGCAAACTTCATATACTGGGTAATAAGGAAACTGAGTGATGGAACTTTTTTAAACAATCGTGCTAAGCAATTTTGTGAATGTCCCTCTTCTACACACAATTTTGAGAATATTTTTGATGGGATAGTGACATAAAAGGGCATTTGGTGGTTTTCTTCTTCCTTTTTCCTTTGCTGTTTCAACCAACTAGGGAACAATTGCTGTTATGCATAGCATTACATTTATCACAGTATGATGGAAATTTCCATATGAAGCAGGATTGACCAATATTGTAGTAATTGGCATTGCATCACATTAATTTTGTGATCAGGTTTAAAGTTGTGAACACTATTAAATAAAAAATGTTTTTACAAAAAAAAATCCAACACATGTGGCATTACTGTTATTTTGATTTCATAAGATATTGGTCAATTTCTGGACATTGTAAAATATGAGGTTCTGAGCTGTAGTCCAGTCTTCAAAATCTCCCCAATTTTTTAAAAAAAAATTGGGGGGAAATAAAATCCAAAATGTTAGAAAAACAAGTGCAATATTTAATGTTTGCTTTATAGATTATATTCAATGGCTGTTTGTATTATATATATTTTTTTCTTTTTCTTTTCTTTTTCTTTTTGTTTGGTGCTGAATATGTCCTTGTAGACTCTTGTTTCAAGACAACAATATGTGGAAAAGAACTTAATTTTTCCTATTGCTCTTCCTTGTGGATAATAAACCTTTTTTTAAAAAAAACACAACACACCAGCAGCTTTTAATTTAGCGATTTTATATGGAGAAACAAAAAGCAATTGTTTGTCATACTTGCATGTGTTTGATGAAGACCACTGCAGGTGCAGCAATTGCATGCACAATGTTCACCGTAGGGTATTCGAGAACCCTGTGTCCATTCATTCATCCACCCATTCATTCAAGTGAATAGGCATCACACCAGACTGTGATTATGAATGGTAGGTGTGTGCACAACCTCAGTTAAGCCATCGTGGAACAGGAATGAATTGTTGGTGTGGAGAGATGGCCTAGACTGTAGAAGGCATGTACAGGCCATTTCCCATAATGGTCTGATACTATGTTTATGTACACAGACTGGGAGGAGTCTTCCTTGTGCCCTATAACAAACCCTCTGTGTGTGGTAATTGCACCCATGCTGTAGGGGGTGGGGAGGGTGTGCTAAGGCAAATGGAGCAACTTCCTCCCTCACTGAAGATCGTAGCAAAACTATTTATTGAAGTAAAGGATAACTCGGTAGAGTATGAGACTTTTAATCTCAGGTTCATGGGTTTGAGCCCTATGTTGGCCAAAAAGATTCCTGCATTCCAGGGGCTTGGACTAAATGACCCTTGAGGTCCCTTCCAGCTCTGATTCTGTGATTCTAAGTTTATGCAATCATTGCACATGATTTCTTCAAATTTCAGGTTAAAAATTAAAAAGATCTCACAAGAAAATTTGGCGTATGTTTCTAACATGGTTGCAAGGGGACGGCACAAATTCCCATACTTATTTTATAAATGTGACAGTTGCCAAACTAGTGAGCTCTGTGGGGCATATAAAATTAATTTGCAGAGTAATGAGCATCTTTTAAAATACTAGGAGAATGAAATGCTCTAATAACTAGCAGAAAGTTACACTTGCAGAACCACCAACCCACCCGATCACTCTCTGCTGCTTCTCCTGTCTCCATTGTTACTCCCTGATGCAGGCCTACCTGGGACAACAAAAGCCAACTTTATGTTTTGGAATTCCTAGGTCATAGCTTCCAAGTATCCCTAATTTCCAAGGACAGTCCCGGACAGTCCCTCCGGGTTTCTGATTTCATCCTGGGATGTTCCAGTTTTCCTTTTTTCCTCCCCTTCTCTCGAAGAACAATTAGGTGTTCGAGAGATCAGGACACACACATACCATCCTTTTTGGAAACTGGAGCCCTTGGGGGGGTGTATGTGCAAAATGGAGTCTTATTTATACTAAAAAAAGCCTGCAACAAATGAAGGAAATGGTGAAGCTGGCATACAAAACTCTTCCTATAATTTTGAAGGAAAACGTAACCACTTTAAATTCTTTAATTGCAATACTTAAGCAGCCAGCCATCTTTTAGGAAGTGTTTGTTCCTTTATCGTAAGTGGAGCCTTACAATGCAAGCCTACGTGTCTGCTCAGAAGTCCCACTATTCAATAGAGCTTACTCTCAGTAACTGGGTAAAGACTGTCCAGCCTTACAATGCAATCCTAAGCATTTTTACTCAGAACTAAATCCTACCAAGTTCAAAAGGATTTGCTCTCTGGTATCTTCCTGATGATTTTCAAAGTTTCCATTATTATTATTATTATTATTATTATTACTACTACTACTACTCAAGGCAGCTTGCAAATATATTTTTATTTCATTTCGTTTATCCATTGAAGGTGTGCATGATCCCTTCTCTCACACATTTTTCTTTACAACCACCCTGTGAGGTAGGTTAGGTGGAGAGGTAATTGGCTCAAGGTGATGGATGTACATGTATATGACGTATATGTGTGATGAGATCTCACAGTAGAAGCTTCCTGACGTAGAATAGAAGGTCCCTATTTTCATTGGTGCAGGAGGCAGTGGAAGACAGGAGTGCCTTGGCGTGCTCTGGTCCATGGGGACACAACTAAACAACAAGAATTTTCATTGGAGAAATATGGGTTTGCAAGGTTGGCTTTTGTTCTTTCTCATCCATCCATACTGGGAAGTGCTCTGAACTGCTCAATCAGATATGCTGTCGGGACAGAATTCCAGTATTTCTGAGGACCCAAGCATTTGGGTTTGAAGTTGCTTGTATCCATTGACCTTAAAACTGTTGCAGGGGCTTTCCAGATCATCATCTGACTTGGGGAGACAAATTCTGAGTTCCTGCTGAAAGACAACACCAGGATTCCTGCCTGTATAGAAAACCCTGTGGTATCTTTCCAGCAAAGGGAGCTGGCTTCAAGGTCCATGTTCCAGTCGCTTCGTAAGTGAGAACTTGCACCACAGCACGGATGTCTGCTGTTAGGGATCCAACACATTCCCAAAGCAACGTAGCTCAGCAACTTATCTGCTTCCCTTCAACCTTGTGACCTAAAAGAAACGAGTGACGCTTTTTTATGACTACATGGAAACCAGATCTTGAGTTGATGGCGAACAGGTCACTGACGCTGCGTTATTCTTGCATGCTTATTTAGAGATAAGTACGTTGAGCTCAGTCGGGCTTCTTGCAAGCATGCTTAGGATTGCATAAGATCAGTGAGCTGAGACAGTAAACTGTAAATCTGGTTAAAGCAATCACTAGGAAACGGAAAATGTGAAGCATCTTATACATCTCTCCAGCCACATTTAGAACACCGTGTACAGTTCAGATCTCTCCCATCTGAAAAGGGGTATCATAGAGCTTGGAATACTAACGAAAAAGCCAGCTGTAAAATGGAAGAGAGCATATTGGAAAAACCAAAAGCCTCCACTCCACCCAGGTATTTAGAGACTTGATGAGAGTTCTAATTTGTTATTTTACTTTATTTTTCCCTTTATCACCGAATCTGATAATTTTAAGAAGGAAAGTGTTCGAAACATTATTTTAACTTTTTGAAAGTCTCAAAATGTTGTTAATTCTTCTTACTGATAATAATAATAATAATAATAATAATAATAATAATAATAATAATAAACTATGAGATTATTATTTTGTAAACAGCTTTGAGGATCCCCCCCCCTTTTTTGTGATCAAGCAATGTGTTATAAGAAAAATACTTGCTCCCTTTCCCTTGTGGGGTATCTATAACACGATGTATGAATTTCGTTAAATAAACAAATAAGCCGGGCCTTTTTAGTTTAGAACAACAACGAAGAGGAGGATCGAGGTTATCCAAAGGTGGTGGCAGCGTACCCCACTCTGAAATGCCCTTTTGGGGATTTTCCATTTCCTGCTCTATTGTGTTATCCAGTATGCAGCAGGTTTTCTAAGCTTCAGTTTTCAGTTAAATGAAATCCTTACAGTGGTTCCAGTAGCCAAGTTATGAAGTGTGTGTTCTTTCTCTACCGAGCTTAGAATTGGCTGGGCAGCTGTGCCTTTTCACAACTGTTTGACAAGCAGAAATTCTGCAGGTGAGGTTACATTGCAGATGTAATTCTGAGAACAACTATCCCTGGTGAAAGGAAATCCACATGTCATTCCTGGGAGCCATCAGATAATAGAACCTGGGTTGCAGTATTTGCATATCCTCCAAGTTTTTGGCAACCAATGTGGGCTGCTTGAAAAATTCTCACTATTTTTCAGATAGTAGCAACTCATGACAGAACAGCAGCAAACTAATTCCTTGGAAAAATACTGCTCAGTTTTCCTTTTTGTAAAGAATACATAGCCTGGGGAAATCTGAGAATAGTATCAAAGATCCTTTACATAGACTATATATCACCTTCACTCCACCCTTAAATTCTGCAGAATTTATATTCTGCAGAATTCTGCAGAAAAGGAATAAAAGCAGTTTTATTACATGAGAGGAGAGGGCAAAGATAACTTTCTAATCTCATTGCTTTTTATAGCTGCCTGGGAGTTTAGAAGAAGTCAGAGATTGTGGAAACCAGGCCTATTCAACACAACTCCCTTTCAGGAGGGGTTATCACACTCAGTTTAGAGAACAAGGCTGTTTATGCAATTGGAGGGGGGGGAGCACAGCAAAAATCTCTCCCATCTCAAAAGAACAAGCTGCCTCTCTTGTTTCCTGGAACAGCTTTGTAAAGTGAAAAATAAAATCACTGGTGGCAGTACGTATAATAATCAGTAGCTTATTATATGATTCTAGTTTGTTTATTAGTGACACAAAACATCATAGCTCATGCAAGTTCAAGCGAGGACTTCCTGGGATTGGACACAGCGCTGTATTTTTTTAACCTTATAAGAAGATGTTTTGTGTCCCCAGCTCATAGAGCTTTCTAAATATGGTGGCATTTCTAATAAGAGGTAACAAAACATTGTTCTGAGATTATCTGCAGAGGCGTAGAATTTCACCATAGTACTAAAACAAAGCATGCTGGATATTGTGTGTGTGTGTTGAGTGTATTAATTTAATATGAGCTCCTGACACCAGCAGGAACAAACGTTCCTGCAAAGTATATAAGTTTTAAAGTTTAGAAGCAGGGAGGATAGGAGAGATCACAACCTGCCCATAGCACCCAGTAAATGCCAGCAACAGAAAGGTTAATGGGTTTAATTGGGCAATATAGCCAGAAAGAAACAGAAAATGCAACAGGTTTCATGAAGAAAAATCAATTTTTGTAGCGCAAGGAAATGATCCCAACATTACCGCACTGACATCTCACATGTTAAAAGGCAACAGATGCCAGCTGTCAAGCTGCAGTGTCACTCAAGAAGGCCAAAAAAAATTGCAAGGACAGTTACATACCCAGATAGGCCTTGGGTGTTAGAATTGCTTGCTCATTACTATAGATTGAGCTCATTCAGCTATAATCTTCTATACAACTTCCATATATAGAGATGATTTATATATCACCCTTTGTGCAACCCCCAGGGTGGTTTACAACAACACAGAGCTTGGATGGCCACCTGTCGTGGATGCTTTAGTTGATATTCCTGCATTGCAGGGGGTTGGACTAGATGACCCTCGGGTCCCTTCCAACTCTAAGATTCTATTATTCTAAGCCCACTATTTACGCAGGGGTTACATTCCAGGGATCGTGCCTAAAGTCAAAATCTGTGTAGTCAACACACATTGGGTTTA